GCCACATACTCACTATTTTGTGTCATGAAGTTATGACGCCCTTAATACTATCAACACAAGAGATAAATTAAGCAGACTGAAAAACAATCTGTGCAGCTGTAATTTCTGAATACTGACGTTAGTTTTTCATTCGCCTCGTTTTTAATCGTGGGCTGACTTTGGGCCGGTAGAATCCTTCTTTTTATATTTTTCTTAATCCTTTTTCTTCTAAGGTAAGTGGACTTAGGAATCCTACTACTGCAGATGTAGATATGCTTTAGTATTGCTAGTATTACGTTGTTGCGCGATTATGGACGTTTGATGGCATCGCACCTACACTCTTTTCGGTTTTTTTATCGTGTCGTTGGCATACTGCCATGAGTGTGGGACCTACCTTTTTGTTTGCTCCATTTGACTTCCCTATAACATCATACACACGCCACTTTTCGTTATGTTTATTGGAAGTTTTGCCTTATGCATGCTTTCCCTTCATGGTTTGGATGCATTTTGGCTTTGAAGAAAGCCTTGTTCTTTGCAGGTGTAAACAAATTTAGGCTATTTTTTCCCACTTACTTTACGAGTCGGCGTTTGACACTAATTTTTTGACGGATTCTTAATAAAATTTGAGGAGTGGGAGATCGATGATCTCCATTTTTATTTGTTTTTCCGATTGAATCTCGCTCTTTTTTCCCAGGCTAGGCCTTTCTTTGCTCTGGTTTTTTGATGCTGTCGCTGTGATGAGTTTGCTTATAATTTTCCTAATTTCATTAATTTTTTGAACCCATTTCGAAATCACATTGCTAATAAAGCATGATGTATCTTTTTCGCTTTAGCTTTTAAATTTGCGGCATATCCTAATCCTGTTCTGTCGTTTGCTTTGTTTATCCTAGCTTATTTGACTTTTGACTACTCGCCTCGGGCATCGAGTTTTCAAAGGCGAGACGTATTCTTGGTAAACACGCAAATGTATTGCATTTTACGTCCTACAATGGATGTGAACTGTGTTGTGTGGCAGAATGCTCTAATTTCATACTTTTAAGCAAAGGGCCATCCTTGTTGTGTATTTGACACATGTACGTCGTCACCTCTAAAAAGGAAAATCCAAATGGTTCCAAGAGGTTGGTATTTGGTGCCTTGTCCGCATTGTCCCTTCATTCCATCTTCAATCCTTCTCCATCACCTACCTCAGAACCACTAAGGAGACGGAGACCTCGAAGTGGTATCACTTGTTAACATAACTAACCTCATCCAGGCGACGTGAACAGTTCCAAAGCGTCGCTTCGATCATTGAGGATAATGCTGTATTCGTGTGTTTGGCTTCTTTATCGTTTTACGCATCCCAAGGCGTTGCTCCCTACTCATTAACATAAAGCGTCTTGCTTGACCTCTAAGATTGTGTTGGCCCTCTGCTGCCGCCAGTAAAGTAACCTGAATCCAAGCAGACCAAAATAATGCTGTTCCTAAGCAGTTCTGAGTACTTTTTTACAGAGCTGACACCAACCATCCACTTCGTTGTCCACTTTTTGGTTGAGAAAATCAAATCGGAGGTTACCCAAGTATGATAAACCTTTTCATTTCATTTCGTTGCAATCTCGGATTCTTTACCATTTTCTGTAGACGTGCTCGGAGCCCTTTTCATCCTTTTCCACTATAGTTTTTGTTAATAACACTTAATGACAATTTTGCTGCCCGCTCCATCTAAAGGTTTTCATGTGTGCCACAATCTGTATAATGTAATAAAGCATCTCTTGAATTCAGTCACACACGCGGCGGTGCGGTGTGTGCAAACTGTAAAGCCAGGTTCTACGGTATGCCTGTTGATTTTTCTAAGTTACAGGTAATGTAGCCTTCCCCACCAAATCACTTCAGCTTGAATGAATACACATAAAATACTTGTTTCCTTCGCTTATAATGGTACTATGTTTTCTATAGCCACAAACATTGATTAGGTTTATTTCGAGTCCGAACGGCATAGGTAAGCAAAGCAGTATCCCATTAGCTTGGTAAATAACATGTAAAGCAGGATGAGCATTATTCCTTAAAGCAAATATTGAGCCGCAGGAGAATTTGTTGATATAGTAGAGGTGACGGCGGTAAATGCATTGGCGGTCCACGCGAGTGGACAACGACCGTGATGCAGTCCAGCATAGGTGTGGTTGCTGAGTTATTAACTAAGTTCGTGAACTTTGACTTATCTGTTCTGCAATTAAAGTAATGCTCGTTGAAAGTTACATTTTCCACTGTCATTACAAATCAAAGAACTTCACAAACAGCTTAGGCACATGTTATTAGTCGCTAGCCATCGAGCAACATCAATAGGGTTTCAGCTTCAATGATTCACTGCTTAATAATGTGTTAAACTTCTTTATAGTTGGCGGATCTTGTTATCGCTAGTTGGCTCGGTATTCCGCCACTATCTACAAACATCTCATTGCAAAATGGCAAAAATTTTTGCAAAATTCTGCTACAGGCTTTCATAACTTTGTGGTAACAATGCTTCAAACTGGTATACGAACTTTGAAAGATAGCCGTTTATCGCTTTTTTATTTGACTGCCTATGTAAATCGCTGTTATATGAGTGGCCATCATGTTTCTGAGAGGCAGGATGGCCTTCAGAATGCGTCAAAGTCTACATCTATCCCTTTCAATCTGAATGCAGCTATTCTTCCAAGCCTTGTACCTTCTGCCACAAAATGAGAAATACGGATTCCTAATGGCTGATGCTAATTTGCTTTGGAAGTTTCGGAGCGCTTTCCTCATTGAAAACCTGCATTTACTCCATAGTTGCAAAATCTAACTGGTTCCACATGAATGCTTTGGAATATATGGCTTTTGATACACCAAGGATTAGCATAAACTTAATTCGTGATAGCATAGGCTGTTAAGGTCCTACTAATTTATCTCCTTGATCTGACGTCTAGAAGTGAAGACGTATGTGGGAAGAAGGTTTGTGGCATTACTGGCGTCTTACTCCGACTAGTTGTTATGGCTTATGTTGCGTTCTGCTGTGTTTTCCGTTTACTGTATCCATTATCCATTGGATTTGTCGAATGAGTAGCAGTGTCCTTTCTAAATAAAACTCTCATCTTAAAGAAATCACCGTGGTTATGCTCTAATTCAATAATTCATTTTAGCTGTAATCATCAATAAAGTCGGAAACTTTAGGAATGCAGAATAATTTAATTTTGTTGTAATTTATGTGCAACTTGTATTCAACTAGAGTATTTCATTCTTTTATTCAATTTCCGATCACTCAAAATTTGGACAGCATCAAAACGCAATGACCTTGTTCCTCATCGTGCTGCCTTCAAGGAAGCGCTCTGTGATTCTGTCTGTCTCTTGGGCAATTCACTCTTTTCTTCCCCGTTAAAGTTATGAGTTCTCAACGCGGCAATGCTCAGCGAAACAGACCTCAAAAGCACAAGAATTCAGTTGCATTCAGAAATAACAAGTATGATACGTCGAAGAAGACTGCATCGCTGAACCAGTTGGAAATGGATGGATTGTGTACAAGATGTAGAGAGATAATCGAATGGAAAATAAGATACAAGAAATACAAGTCTCTAACTAAGCCTCGAACCTGGTATGCTTGATATATTTCCTCTGTTCTTTCAACCCACTCACGTGACTTCATAATGCGTTAGTAATTCGTGTTAACATAATGTTGAAGTTGCCTTCAAAACTTATGAGACTTACGTACAAGACATCTTGCTTTTCAGTGTCAGATGTGGCCAACGATGTGTTAAGAGAGCCTACTTTACCGCGTGCGAATCCTGCATTTCCTCCTTAAATATATGCGGGAAATGCGGTCGAGAAGTCATTGCTGTCCCTTCTTTGTGAGTTCGCCTCTTGAGCAAGTAATCTCCTTTTAGACTCGCCTCAGAGCAAGGTGAGACCAGAAAACATTCTAAAGCAAGCTTTTGGAGCGCGCAAGGCGACGGACCCCCCTTCGCCTATTCATTGCTGCACGCCTTAGTGCTAAATTCATCACATTGGTATCCAGAGTAGTTTAATTGAGACCACACCATATTTTGTGCCCATTTCCTTGTTCCACTGTTATGTGAATGTCTGGATTGCCTCCTAGACTTTTCATTCTTATTCACTCACTGATTATGATTCAAGAAACCCTGTCCCGAATGATGGAATCTAAGAAGGATGAATCCGGGGCCATTGCTGTGGAAGATTCCTCAGAGGAAGAAATGCGGTCCTCGGTAGGAGATGGCGACAACTCAAACGACGGAACCCAACAATAGTCCGCATTATCTGGCTGCACTTTATTATCATGTAACAGCATTATGTTAAATACACACCCACGGAATATATGAAGGGGTGACTGATTCGAGAAGTAATCCACAAGAAAGTGGACTGGTGATGGGAAACCTATGACTGCTGACCATTCAAGTTAGCATGATGGATTTGAAAGAGATGGGTCTAGCACAGTAATCGCGTAGTGATGAAAGGATTGTCTGAATGATGGCGTCGTTTTTACAATGGACTGAATCTGCACATCTGGCGTGGGCGGTTAACCTAGGGAACAGACGTTCGAGGGTCGTAGACAATAGCGTTCGATCCGGTTGGTGTCGGAACTTGAAAATGTCCAGCTTGCAGAGTGCTGGCGGGGGTGAGCAAGTGTGCTTGACCTGGGTAAAACCAAAGTTAAATCACACAGATTGGAAAACAATGAGCCGGAATCCTATGAAAGAATTAAGGGATGGAAATGCGTCCCAATCCCCGTTTATACTCTAGCCGTGACAATGCAAAAGAGGGCAAGTTAACTAGGGACCTCCAAGAGTCCAGCATCCATTGGGGAAGACTTCACCAGCACCAATGGGAGCTGCGTTCACCAAGCCGGCAACAGCGCCACAAGACGACTGGGGAAGAACCGTAGCCGCAGCAATCATTCCAGCGCCACCGCCAACTCCAATGGTTTGGTCAGGAACTGCAGTGGCGGTGGCAGCACTGGAGGGAAAGAGAAGGGTTGCACCTGAGCCACCCATTGCCGTGGAGTTTGTAGCCACGAATGCACCCCGACTAGTGGAGCCTTGATCGGCTGCAATGACTGTGGATTGCGTCTGCGAGGCAACAACAGTGGTAGCCGACCCTGACACATTGGCGAAGTACACCTCAGTAGGCGACTTTGTGTGGGATCCAGGTGGAGGAGCCGGAGGATATCCGGTGTAGCGAAAGTGTGGATTTTTCAGGTCCAAGTGATTCGTTATCTAATCGAGATAAGTACATCCCAATAAAGGGGCATAGAATACTAACGCATCAGAAAAGTATCTTCAAAACCTAGATGCTCCTCATATCAGAGCAAGATGAGGTTACATCGAACTAGATAGGCGAACAAGAAGTCATTTAGATCGAGAAACAAATTCGCCTGTCCAATGATCGCACATACCTTTGTGTCACTGTCGGGAACCACAAGTTCGATTTCAACATCGTAGGACTGCCGCGTATTGGCTACCATTTTAACGTGGCCTGTCAGAATCTGACCCTCTTGTACAAATAATGCAGTTCCCAGTAAGCATCGGACCTAGAAAAAGTAATGCTCAACAAAATCACAAAGTCGACTACAGCAGTTTTTGAGCGGTAGTCGCAAAAGGGATTCCCGAATACCAGAGCTTTCCACAGATCAAAAGGTGGACAACTACTTCTTGCACAAACTAACTACGATAAAAAAAGAAGAGTTAAGATATTGGGACAACGAATATCCGAAGCTATCACATTGTAGTTAAATTGAGCAATAAGATCATTGAGGGTTTACAACCACATATTTTCTAACAAAAGTACCTAGTAGACGGAACAAACGCACCTGATACCAATGTGTGAGTGGTTCAGTTGGCGCTGTTGATAACCAAACATCCGTCTGAGAGCCCAGAAAACCAACATCGAACCAGAATGCCAACCCGTGTATCTAAAACACCAATATACTAATGCCCATTAATTGAGCACTGCATGGAGCATGCCAAGCATAACAGAAATTTTACATTTCTAATAGTTGAGTGGTCCAGGTATTTTGTGAAAGAGGTAGTCTAAACGTACCACATAACTTCAAAACTACGGGGAACGACCAACTCGGAATGTGTGTGGGTATTGTAGAGGATGAGCAAAAAAACTTACAGTTGAACATTGACTGACGTGAAAAACTAACGGAATTTCAATGTTAGCCAGATCAGACTCGCTAACAGTTCGGAAGTCGACATTGTGGACGCAAGGCTCAGTCACAGGACAGATACTTATATCGAACGTATCTACGACCGGTTGGTTAAAGTATTCTTTAATCGCAGCCCCGCGTAATGCACTCAGGTCCATGCCATGAAAGCTCTAATAAAGTATAAAAGGAAACTAATAAAGGACCAGTTATTAATAATCAAAGCACCTAGTAACAGCGGAGACCAAAACTGTAAGAAATGACTTTGCATTTAGCACCATCTGTTGACTGAAAACCTAGCATAAAAAATCAAGCCACAAACCTGCTGATACCAGAAGTTGGCCTTCGTATACAATTCTGCGAAGAGAGCCTCATCAGAGAATGGTGCAACGAACATTTTACCAATAGAAGGAAACATAACACCGGGCTTTGGTTCTGCAAAAACTTCTTCATCCCAACTTTGGTAACTTTTGCTTACAAATGCGTCCCTCATTTCGGAATCAGAGCTACCATTCTCCCCAGCGACCTTTTTCCGCATGGCACGGTGTTGAAAAGCAAGAAATTTGCGAGCATGAACGTATGTCTCCAGCATCCGCTCATTATAGAGCATGTAGCCCATCGGTTCCGACACTATAACATCAACCGGTTCAGGCAGAGTAATGTCCTCTATTTTTCCGCTGAAAACAGATGACTTTAAATGAAAGGAATTATAAATATAGAAAGAAAGGCTTGTTCCACAGAGCAGATTGATAAATAGATATATTACTTTCAATGTAAACCATAAATAACATACCTAACAACCACAATTCGTCCAGCAAGCTTATTTGCTTTCACAAGAACTTGGCAGTGTTCAGCCATATTCGAAGCCTCTACAGCGTAAACGCGCTTTGCTCCAGCTTGCACAGCGAAAAATGACAGGATTCCGGAGCCAGCACCAACATCCAGAACAACTTTACCGACGAAGTCAGCTTTTGAATTTGCCAAAATGGCACGTTGGTACGTAGAAGTCCGAATGTAATCCTAGAAAAATCATGTTAATAAATGTTTTACAAGCCTTGCCTGCATCATATTTTGCTGTTGACTGAGATAGCTGTAAAACTGAAAATACTGAACAGCTGACCAGGAATCAGTCCTTTCGTCGAAAACGGATCCACGAGCACTTTTGTTCGATTCCCTTGCAAAATTGTTAGAAACTGAATCCTAAAGGATAATGTGAAGCCACCAAAGCTAACCATAAATCGTGTGATCTCAACAGAATCGCTAAACGACACTAGGTACACAGTGTTGGGATCATTGACGTCAATAAATACACTGTTTCCGAGGCAACGAGTACATTGGTTAGGCTTTATAGTCAATTCCAAAATAAGTTGTTCATTTCTACAGTATGCTGTACGTTAATCCCTTACTTAATAAAAGACAAAACGAGTTCATGAATACGCTGCATTGTAAGACACAGCTCACGTCCAATCAATTCACACTGGAATGCTCCTTTTGTCAATTTACGCAAATTAACGCAATCAAATTTGAGAATCATGACCCCAGATGTCAGCAGAATGTGCCAGACGAAAAATGAAACCTTGAAGCAGAGCGGGTTGTCTCACAAGCAATGAAACAAACCAAGACACAATGCAGAAGCCATAAATTAACTTTTTAGCCATTTAAAATAAAAATACAACTTTTTCAAAAAATAAGTGATTCTATGTATTATAATTTATTGGTTTTCTTTAGCTGATAGTACCTTATATAACAATTTAATGCCAATTGTTAAACGAGTAATTTTCGAAAATGGTGGTTAATACAGGACATCTACGTATTTTCAGGTCAGATGAGTTTAAATCACAAGAATTTTTTTCTCAGATTTTTGAGTAAAATGACTTTAGCAGCCCGATACTTTCCACCTAGTAGAACAAAGGTAGTGTGAATTTGAATGCATAGATTTTGGAAAAAATAAGGGTAGTTGTAGCGCTTTGAAACCTTCTGGCCGGTATAAGAAGCAATACGTACAGCAAGATACATGTATACTGAAGACGATAGGGCAAATATGTCACATGTACAAGGGCCATACAAACCCTAGAGTAACCGTCTAATGTCATATGACCACATAAACAAAGTATTACACTGCCCTTTTTTGGAACTACATCAATGCACCCACGAGGGATCCGCGCCCCTCGACAGACAGCGTGAGACTGAGGAGCCGTATCCGGTCTCCTCGACGGCTTCAACTGTATCTGAAGTTACGTTCGGTCTGACAATCCGATTCGGGGCCGCATACGCCTGTTAACCACCAATTGCTTCTAAGAAAAGACACTTAAACTCTGGTCTAAAACACATATTTTGCAGGGGAAACAGGATGAGTTACTCTCCCGTATGCAAGGAGAACTGTAGTGTTAGTTTCGACACCTAAACACGGAATTTTATGGGAAATTCCGACGCAAAACTTTTCCACATAATTCTTAGCGGTGCCACTTCAGTTGTTAATGGCTTGTCTGTGGAACACGAGAATAAGGTGAAACCAAATGCAGACGTCAGTCAAAATCCTTTCGTTGTGAGGGATTCAGGGATTCTTTGTCACCAAGGTAAATGCGCCTCCTTCAATTCGTGTCACCTTTTCGCCTGTATCTTCCCCTATTGCATGTCGATAAAATCAGACTTCCTTCCACGCATGTATAGTTCAAGATTGTCGGTGTATAACGCCGAAATGCGCTTGTTTATCTTGAATTTCTCAACCAAGATGTAGAATTCCCTCGCAGTCTTGTCTACTGGTTGGATTATCAGCTTCTTATTGTGAAGAGAGATATTTCGAATTTCCGGCCAAGGGAACCCGATTTTGTGCTCCAACAAATTATCAGGCACATAGATACTCAAACTCAGAGCATCAACGCCAAGAAAAAGCTACACACATCTCCAGATCCTGTGCAATTTGTAGGTACTGAAGCATTGCATCATCAGATCGAAGCCTTGCTCGTCGGCTTTTTCGTACAATTCTTTTCCGGAAATCATTCGATTAATTAACAAAGTTTGGTAACACAAGTGTATGATGTCAGTAAGACAGCGGTGTTTGTTGGGCAATTCAAAGCATTCCGTGTAGCGTCCTGAGACCTCCTGGCCGCTATAAGAAGTCAGTAAGTGCAGCCGGATACACACATTCTGATGACGATAGGACAAATGGGTCTGGGCATGGTCCAAAGGCCAGCCCACGTGTACAATGGCCAGACAAATCCTAGTGAGCGCCAAACGCAATGTGGTCACACAAACAAAGTATTACAGAAGTAGCCTTAAGGTTGGCCCAAAGATCAGCCCCTCCTCACAAAAATCAGACGAATCTCCACCTAACGAAAGACTTCAGTTGGTACACGTTTCGCGACAGCCATGACAACATATTTGGTATTGCAAGAAAATACCCATGGATCTGCAGCGCCAATCAATAGATACCATACGACTGAGAAACGGAACTTGGTACTTCAACTAAATCTATTGTTACGTTCGGTCTGACAGCCGGATTCGGGGTCGCATGCATCTGTTGACCATCGATTTCCTTCAGATCGGGACGGTTTAACTCTAATGTGAAACAGATTTGTTACAGGGAAAACGGGATCAGACACCGTCTCGTATATAAAGAGATCCGCATTGTCATCCCAGGCACCTATACACAGTGCCGCTTCATTTGTTGATAACTCTTCTGTGGGACACAGGGATAAGGTGAAGCCAAACGCAGACGCCAGCCTCAACCCTTTTGCTGTGAGGGATTCAGCGATCCCTTTGTCACCTATGTGAATGCGTTTCCGTTGTCACCAATGAAGCGCCTCGAGACTTCCCACTGGGTAGAAGAAGGCAGTAGGAAGAGCTGAATGCGTGTATTTCAGGCAGAGCAAAGGAAGTACGCCTAACCTTAGCCCGAGAGCCAGCCGACTCGTACATGGCCTAGACGAATCTTAAGCTAACCGCCAGACATCAGGTGGTCACCTAAACAAAGCATTACAACGAATTTCTAGCAAAGTACAAGATGCTATTTTTAAAGAAGCACCATAAATAGGTAGACATCGCGGGGATACTATCGTGCTACAGGGTCTAACATGCGCTATGAGCGCAAATCGGTCAAAAGTCCCCTTTGATAATTCTGATACGTCTCTAAATTCTTCGTTCTGTACAAGAAGACGTTAAACTTGGTCAAATACATGTATTCATGCAAAAAGTTCGGAAGTTATGCTGTGACATGGTGCAAGAGGCGGACTATTTTTTCGCAGTTGTAATTTGAACTGTTGGAACAGTTCTTGTTTAAGGTGACATCGACGAAGCTAAATGTGTTAAAGGGAGATGGTGTAAAATAAAGCTCAGCGGGTTTTGAATATCATTCGTGCTCCAATGTAGCGGTTCATTTCACTACTCTTCTCCTAGTTTGTGGCTGATGGGAATTCACACAACTGCGATAATTGCAAATCTTTGGGCAGCACTTGGCACTCACTTTGTTCACTGCTCTTGAAGCGACTCAAGACTTCCAATTAAATAAAAGAAGGTATTAAATTGGACTTAAAACATATACTTTAGATGGAGGAGAAGGGATTGGATCTTGGCTTGTTTATAAGGCTAAACCGCGCGTATATAAGCAGAGCCAGGACCGAAGACACGCCAGACATCAGGTGGCCACATAGGCAAAGACTTACAACCCTGTTTCCAAATTCTTTCGTTAAAATTTGTATTTACCAAGACATAGTGGACTGGCTCACCTCGTAACTAAATTTTCTTTGAAATAGTTCACCACTGGTGTCGTTAATAAGCTCTATACTGTGAATGCCGAATTTTGTCGTCGTCACTGAAGTACCCACCCATAGCTCATGCCCCCTTTGTCTTGTTGAATTCCATCAAAAAAAAAAATTGCCACAATAATCTCTCACGCGTGTGTTCGCTTTACTCCGCCAAAAGTATTGTTTCAAGGGATTAGTACTCGCACAGAACATCCATAAAAGGGGAGAAAATAAGGAATTAGGATATAGACAGCCAGCCTACTCTTCAATAACAACATGGCTGTTAAAGTGACCATAAACAAAGCATTAAAGTTCCAATAAAACGGATGCTGCAATTTTAATTTCAACCTCCTCCCCCTACATCGTACCATACTCCTGCTTAAATATACACTTTGGATTAGAGGATGGGGAAGGAAGTTGTTATAGGCGATAGACAGGATTCTTTTGACATCTTGGATGACACTGACATCCTTCTTTTATTACCGCTTGATGATGCTCTCGTCCAGCCAATCTATTAACATCCGATCAAAGCGTGGAGTAAAGAACTGCAGGCTACTGTAACGGTTAGGCTCAGTTTGTCCCCTTTTGCTCATAGGAGCTGGTAGTTCACTCCACATGCAAGTTGACCTCCAAAAGCAAACGTGAAGTAGATTTTATTCGCTCAGCGTAATACTGAAAATTACGCAACTGGAGTTGGGTTAATTTCAGAAAACCCCATGACTCTCAAATAAAACCAATTATAAAAGAGTCCATGCTGAATGACACCTGAGATCTTCTGTTTGGGTAAAGCCCTAATTAGAATGGACAGTGGAAAAGCTCGTAAGAAAACATCGTTTTTTTTCTGAAACAGAAGGAAACGAAGCACAGTACAGTGTTAAACGTTCATCAAGACTAAAAATAATGTTTGCAGATCTCTTATTATATCGGGCTGTGTGTTTAACGTCTTGAAACTTCTCACTAGATAGGCGAAGGTAGTAATTTGGGTTAAATACATGCGTTTAAGGAGGAGAAGAAGAGATTGGGCTTCGGCATGGCCAGAAGGCCTGTCTACGCGCGCAAAAGCCAGACAACTACCAAAGGAACCGCCAAACATACAGGTAACCACAGAAACAATGTATTACAGGATAAAATGGTTTTTAATCGCTTCTTAGATGCTTCGTTGCAGGTCGCGTGTCATTTCCTGCTATTAAACTCGTAAATGTACAGTGAGGTGTCCGTATGTTAAAAAAGTGATGTATTTCGCATGCACTCTCAGCAAGATGGTCAGAACTCCGATAGACACCCTAACAACAGTTTTCGAGGCATGTGAAGAGTCAAATGTCACAACAACCTTCTTGCGAAAGCGCAAATAACCCGAATTCCCTCGTTCATGCCTTTTTCTGGCCTTTCAACCCAGAATGATCAGTGTCAGTATAATATCTGGACTACTTTATAAGCTCCCCGTTTTGGCTTCGAGAGCACTTAGGGCACCAGCTTTGACCTCCGCTGGACAGGATGGTCCCTTGGGCAACCCAATGACCTCAAACCTCACTGATTGTCAACAGAGCAAATAGTGCTCAAATATTGTCTCCTCTGTCGTAATTTCTGTAGTCTGGAGATGTGCATGCACAAAATCATGCAACGAAGTATGTACTCACCCTCACTCCGCCTAATCTCTCCCATTTGGATGCCATTATTGATACTACTAGTAATTTACATTTATGTACTTGAATCACTCTTTAAGTTGGGTATCTTCAAAAACCGTCACATAACTGCACTTATTCCTCTATTGCTTCCATTGGGCTGTGTAACTAATAATATAAGTTGGTAGATTTTGAGAGCCATACGCGACATCTCAGCACAATTATTTGTCCCCCACAAATTTTGGCGTCATTACACAGAGGAAGTCCAAGGAGTGAACGCTCGAGGTCTGAACTTTGAGGCTTAAACTGCATTGTTGCATGTGTCAACTCGTCTATCCCTCCTGAGGTTACCATCGCTGGGGTACGAGAAAGAGTGGATTTCCGAACACGCCAAACACAATGGCGAACTTACTTTCCTGAATATACCAAATTTTTTTGGGTCATTGGAATCCTTTAACGATTACCTAACCCTCTTTTTCTGTTTTGGATACTTGGTTGATCACAGCTAGATCGTAGGCATCCGAGGCGAGAGGTAGAACAAAAAAGGCACCCGAAACAACACTCAGAAGGAGGCGATTAACTATGCCAATCGGATAAAAAGAGTTGGTTTCTTGTCTTCGGTCATTATTCACTAGGGTGGTCAGTCGTGCCGTCACCATGTAAGTTGGTGTTTGGACGATGCCAATAACTCCTGTCCTCTTCTGTGGCAAAAACTAAATTCTGCCAGAGAATAATGCCTCCCTTCACCTCTGGGGTAGTCTTAGGAGGCTACAGGTGTAGTTCATGCTGCCAAAATGACTTGTTTCACGTACTCGCTGTTAAAGCAATGGCTACTTTTTTTGACTTGGTAGCTCACTCAAGATCAGTCGTTCGCCTAACGCAACCAAAGGAACCCTCCTCGAGCAGGTAGCCAAAATCCACAAGGTTTTAATGTAAACTCACGTAAAGAAAAGTTTTTGTTCTTTTTTAGCCTTAAAATTAGGCGTTCTTACTTAGAAATAAGGAAGGCGAAACACACTTATAGCTGTCATGACTTTTACTTCCGTTGAAGGAGTCACTCGCGCCTCATAAGGACAATTTTCAATTCCATCCGAAAGCTGAGCCTGAGGTGATGCTATTTTCAGTCACCGCTTCATTTTACGAATTGCAAGTCGGAAATATCTACTGCTTTTACTCGCCCAGTTAATCAGGCAGAAGGCAGGGAAAGAGTTGGAACAATGAACTAAATGATTGGATTAAAAGTGTCGGTTACTTTTAAGGCGTTTTTTAAGTTTCATGCGTCTGTTTTGGAACCAAATTTTCACTTGAGCCTCGGAGATTCCTAGCTCACTGGCAATCTCGTAGCGACGCGCTCGAGTAAGGTAGTGGGAGAAGTGAAACTCCTTCTCCAGCTCCGTCAGTTGATGTGTGTTGAAACTGATTCGCGGTGAGCTGTTGAGGAAAGCCTTGTTAACAAGGAGAAAATGGAAACATACCTTTTTGAACAATTTTCACTGCTGCCTCCATCGGCACTGGGTTGGACAACCTTGGATGGTAAATCTAAACATTTTAATTAAGCTGAAATTGTAAGACAGCGGAAATGCCCGTCTGCCACATTATCCTGTTTAACTTTCCACAAATGTAGCATTGGTTGGTTATTTTGGCGAATGGCTACGTTTTCTTATGTTAGGCTCCCAATCTTAGCTAAAATGGATTTGCTCTTGTTCCATAAGGGCTCAAAAGACATCTCCACAACTGACAATAATTTCGACATAAAGTACTTATTACTAGCTAGAAACTGTCTTCTTGGTGTGGAAGATATGGACTCTATTAAGCGGGCAAACAAGGATCCACGAGTGCTTAAAGTCTGATACGTTGAACCGCTAACTACAATGGCTTCCCACCAAAAATTCTTATGAAAACCACTGTCGTAAAAGAATCGCGTCCAGCGAAGCCCGGCTTCTACCAAGACAAAGCAAGTACTAAATCCACTACCCTAGTACCCTTCGATTCATAGCGCATGACCGTTGATGCTTTCGTAAAAATGCTTCGCATGGTAGCAGATTTCCTAGCACGAGCTGTCTCCTTCCAAAGGGTGAGTCCAGAGTAAAGGCTCCGATGAATTTGTGTTGACGTTTTACTAAGCTACATGGTGAATATTTTATCGTGCGATTCAAAAGCTGTGTTGTGAAGATACGCTAGTCGATGCCATACGAGGGTGGAGAAAAAAAGGTCGAAATAAAAGGGAGTAGGTGCAAAAAGGCTAACACAGTCACCATAGCATTGCTTGAATTTCCCTGTTAAAAGGTGATTTTCGCTACTTTCCTCAAACTTACCTAATTTTGTTTCGGAAGGCGAATGATAAACATAAGGTGGAAGGTTGTTCGTAGATTTTTTTTCGATCGGATCCTCCAGAGGCGTACCACTCATTGTAGCGTAGAAGGGCAAAAGGTCCCATTGGTAGCTCGTCTTTTATTTAGAGCCGACTAAGGGCAGTAAGGTGATTGGATGAATTTTTGTATTTACATGTTTCTCCACACGAGTAACTTTTGCCTCATTGCATAACACGGTAGTTATTTGTTCAACAGCTGAAATCAATATGGAAGAAAACTTTAAGTTTCTCGGCTTGTAATATATACTAGATTGCTTAAGTGGACTTGTTATAGGAGAGAAGCGAAACTGAATTGCAACGCGAACCACGTGCGTGAGAACCGTGAGAAGTCTCTCTCCAGTTGATATCTTCTATTCGGCCCATCTGCATTCCAACCCCCATTCTTCCTGCATCTAATGCCAAATAAATCGTCTGTAACTAACCCTCTCGTGGAATCAGTGATTCAAGGGCATGAGGTTAGACAGGCAGTCCCTACACTACTGAACCACAATCGGTCGGACAGACATTTAGCTCATCTCACTAACCATCTAGCTCACCGATACCGACTTCAATGATGTGTCCGTAATGTTTTGCTTATGTGACCGCCTGTATGGTAATAGCCTTGCTCTCATATTCGTGGGTTGATCATTGGACCAAGTCAAAGCCCTTCCTGGTGAGCTAGAATGCCAACCCTTGCCTTCAAGGAAAACTTGAGGTGGCTCAAATGGGACCAGCGACGAGTAATTAAAAACAAAGAACCGCTTTTATTTTCGTCGCTAAGTAGTAGATCTGAAGGCATATCATAAATGTGATCGAGGACAAATCCTGACACAAGAATCTGATCCCCACCTTCGACATAGAACTCTGTTTCGTAACTTGAAGAAAGGCTACTAGCAACTGTTGCAAAATCAGCCACAATACACCTAGACATATGAATTAGCGGTCTACTATATCATCATGCGTTAAAACAATGCTCCTGCAATTTCTGATCAGTATGGCCGAGAAACTTTGAAGTGAGACTACCATTAGAAAAGAAAGCAGATGTGCAACTATGTTCGATCTGGTTCTACGAAAAGAAGAAAACGCGAATACCATAAAATAGCCAAGAGGAATCAACTAGGTAAGGGGTAGTATCTTCCTAAAATAGCGCAAACCTAATATGACGGCTCTGATTACTTTACGAAAACTACTGCAAGTGGGAATATAAGAAGCTTAAAGAAAGGGAAGGGCTTTGAAACTAAACAATTTATCACGCGCTGCCACGTTAGTGCACGGCATTGCCTTGATTCTACTTTTACCCTGATGGCTGTCAGTACTACACGCCAAAAAATATTTTGTTAGATGGGGTGAACTTCGTACCTGAGCAAGGCAAGCCTCGTTCAGTTTTTGCCTCGCCACAAGTTTTTAGCCAAATCATAAACCTTATTTTGGTCAAAGGAGGGTCATGGAGCGCTTCACAACATTTCTTTATGCAAAATCGCTCGTCATTAAAGAAATTATAAGTTTTACAAAGCATATACTTCTTTAAGTACGCCCAGTACAAGCAGAGTTGCAGTCTAAAAAAACCGAAATCAGCTACATCAATACTCTTTTTCCTGCCTGTGATACTGGGAGTAGCTCTGGCGGTAATCCTTATTTGGGCTGAAGAGAATAGCCTTCGGACCAATTTAAAGCATTCCGTGAAGCGTCCTGAGACCTCCTGGCCGGTATAAGAAGTCAGTAAGTGCAGCTGGATACATCTTTTCTGATGACGATAGGACAAATGGGTCTGGGCATGGTCCAAAGGCCAGCCCACGTGTACAATGGCCAGGCAAATACTAAAGTGAGCGCCAAACGCAATGTTGTCACGAAGCAAAGCACTACGTTTCGCTATAGAAAAAGAGAATTGGAACGCTATGGATGTGATGCTTTGTTTATGTGACTACATGACGTTTGACGGTCCCTTTAGAATTTGTCTGGCCCTTGTGCACGTGGGCTGGCCTTCGAGCCATGCTCAGGTACACTTGTCCTGTCGCCTACAGAATACATGTTACCAGCTGCACTTACTGACTTTTATACCGGCCAGGAGGTCTCAGGACGCTACACTAGCTGCCCTTCAAAAAATAAATGCATCGTTTACTTAGTATTGTGAAGCTGGACCGTTATAAAAAATCATAGAGTGTTGCACTCCTTATCGCAAAGCAATAACGCATAAGTCTTTAAAACGCCAAAATATAAGGGAAATAAAATGATAGTTCTATGTAGAGCAGCATTTCCTTGCACAAGTTTCTAATTTGCTCGCGCTGCTGAGATTCGACCACAGTGATTAATTCTTAAAAAGTATATAATGCTAAATTATATCAGATTTTACTCCTATTATATTTCAAAATGGGTTAAGTACAACAGTCCTAAATTTGTGCAATTAAGTACTACGGAATTTACGTTGAAATCCATCTGACCTTGAACGTGTTGTTGATTATTGCTAGTTTTCTCCCGTCTCAACCGATTCGCTGTGTTGCGGTCGTTCTTTGGTGATGGAGTTCCTTCTAGGTGATGTATCAGATTCAGACTTTCTTATCAATTATCAACTCGAGAATCAGATCGGACTAGGGAGTCTCCCTTTTCCTACCATGAACAGTATGCTTGCATTTTTTTTCAACTTTTCACAGAAAGTGGATCTGGTGTATGTACATTTTTCCTCACAAACTCCTGTCGGCTAAGCACTCGATGTCCATTCCGTCACATCAAAGGTGATAAGACCGTTGTCTGTAAGCACTGGCTACGTGGTCTCTGCAAGAAGGGAGACGATTGTGACTTTTTGCATGTCTACGACATGACTAAGATGCCAGAATGCTACTTCTTTTCAAGGTTTGGTATGAGCTTTACATAGTTACGTTTATCACGTGATTAAGGTGTTTGTATGAATAAAGAGTGTCAATTTCTTCATGTCGACCCAGCTACAAAGATACAGGATTGTGCCTGGTACGCTCGAGGGTTTTGTCGGAATGGTATGGTCTAGCTTTATTCCATGGATAGTGTTTAGGTCCTGCCTGCCGCAATCGCCACGTACGGCGCGTCGCCTGTCAGAACTTTTTAAACGGATTTTGTTTAGATGGTCCAGACTGCAAGCAGGCTCAGTATGTACATCTCTTCTGCACTACTTTTGTTTTTTCAGTCCTAAATGGTGGCCACTTCCGGGATCTGATCAAGAGCATCACAAGCAAAAATGGATTTGTCACCACTGTAGTAAGATTTTGCTGGAGCACTTCTCGCTAATAACTTTTACGCAGTATGCCTACATATTATGATTGTGTTTATCTTAGGTGGTGTTAAAGTCTGTTTTTATGGCAGACAACCAGTCATCTCTACTTTTTTTCTGTACCCTCGTTTCTTGCACTATCTCTTGGTACCAGAGTACGTGCGCATAAGGACTTTTCTTTCCTTGCTATTGATTCGCATGAACAGTCTCCCACTCACAACTTCAAATTAGTTCATCCGGTTTGCATTTGACCACCTTTTTGTCCCAATACTGGACAATTTCTTATTTTGCAGAGGAGAGGGGCCACAAGGTCCAGTTTTGTCATAAATTACCACTGGAGGAGCGGCAGCGATTGCAAGAGCAGTCATCTCAACGCTATCAACCGTCCTTTCCATCTTCTAATCAGCCGCTTCTGGGTAACACTTCTACTTTCCCCCAGGGAGCCCCTGGTAGGGGTAGTTTGGCGGTCAATCCGAAGCACGGGGGCATGGCGGCACAACAGAAGCCGTTGGATGAGGTTACCTGCTACAAATGCGGTGACAAAGGTCATTACGCAAATAAATGTACCAAAGGATACCTCGCCTTCCTCAGCAAGGGCTCCAATGAGGCCGCCCTGGGCATTCAACCAGGATCCTTGTCGTGACTGTTTTTATCTCTGTACAATTTGTACTATTTTTG